ATAGGTGCAGACCTGGCCGGCCTCCTCCCATCCCCAGCAGCACATGGGAAGCCGGCTTCAGCTGCAAGCTGCTTTTCCTGGCCAGTGCCAACCCGGTTCTGCCCAAGCGGGTCCTGAAGCACCATGTCAAGCCAGGCATGACACCGGCAGACCAGGCAGGCCCCAGGTTAACGCCAGCCTGGCCCTGCGGCTTCTCCAGCACCAGGTCAACCTGGTTGTAGCCAAGCGGCTCCCGCAGCACCCTGTCAACCCGGGCATGACACCAGGCCAGCTGGGCACCAGGTCTGTAAAAATACTGTCCAGTGTTTGGATTGTGTTTGCTTCTGTTTCTCTTTGTGTGGGATTGGGGGATTGTTACTACTTGTTAAAGATGTGTTACTAACAAGTAAAAAGATCATGATCCGACCCCACATTGAAAAAGGTTGGACACCCCTGCCTTAGACCAACACGGCTACAACCAAAAACTCTTATTAACAATAAATTTTTGGGGAAATATATTAAATATTATGCTTCAATATTCAAACCAAGTGTCCAGTTACTAGAAATAATCTACCAACTCCAGAATTCTTACAACTTCCTGGTACTGATCACTGTTAGAGACTGGATACTTAAGTAGGTAGATGTGCCTTTTTCCACATGGTCAGTGTTATGTCCATATAGCAAAACAAATGCAAAAAATAAACCCAATCAACCACAGGAAGTCTGCATAAAAGTGAAACAAGCCTATAAGATTATAATATAGAGTCTTATAACTCATTTTAATATAGTAACTGTATCTTTTCCCCAGGCTAGTAGACTAGTAAAATGCTACAGTGAATAAAGATTAGAGATTTTTTTTTGAAATTGCATGATTTGGAGTGACTTAAATGTCAGAGGAAAAGCAACCAGGGAACTGGCTAGTCCTCTACAACATTCACATACAATTGTGAGAAGGGGAATTGCAAGGACCAGAAATCCTAGTACGATCACGGAAGTATGATGCCATTTGGTATGATAACACACTTGGTAGGTAGGATGGTTCCTATGACTGGAATACCATCATGGACAGTTACAACTTGTTCAGGAGGGACAGGCAGGGGAAAGCAGGAAGTGGTTGCTTTTATATAGGAGACATACACTTGTTCTGAAGCACAGTATAAAATGGAAGGTAAGTCTGCTGAAATCTATGGGTGAAGTAAGAGGTGAGAACAGCAAGGGTGATGTCATGGTGGGGGTCTGCTATAAACCACCAAACAAGAGGAAGGAGGGTTTTTTTCAGTTAATATTTGAAGATACAAACTGCAGGACCTGATGCTAATGGGGGATTTGAATTATTCTGACGTTTGCTAGGAGGGCAACAAAACAGCACACATGCAGTCTAGCAAGTTTAAGGAGTGTGTTAGAAAACTTTTTGGTACTGATGGAGAAGTCAAGTAAAGGAGGGGGGAAGGGAGCTCTTCTCAATCTGCTGCTCACAAATAGGGAGGAACTGACTGAGAATCTGAAGGTGTAAGACAAGGTGGGTGACAGTGACTACAAAGTGACAGATTTCAGTATGGTAAGCTAAGGAAGGCAGGAGAGCAGCAAAATAAGATGACTGGATTCCAGAAAAAGCAGACTTTAACAGGTTTGGGAAACTGGCAGGTAGGAACCTCTGAGAGTCAAATGAAACAGGAAAAGGAGTCCAAGATCTTAAAGGGTGCAAAAGCAAGCTATCAATACAAAGAACAGGAAGAGCAGCAAGGGACTGGCCTGGCTAAACAGGAAATTTCAGTGAGTTAAAACTTAAAAAAGAATCTTACTGAAAAGTAGAAACTTGACCAGATTACAAGGGATGAATAGAAGCAGAGGCATAACTGGGCAATTTTGCACCCTGGGTGGTAGTGCCAAATGGGACAGTGAATTAGGCTGCCAACTGGTGAAACAGCAGCAGAAGTGCTATTTTTGTACCCCCACTAAATTTGCACCAAGGCTGGTGCCCCAGTCACTCCTCCTACTTAATTATACCACTGAATAAGAGTATAGCACCAGCATGCAAGAAGGTCAGGAAGGGCAAGGCACAAAATGAAATTTGGGTAGCAAGGAATGTAAAAGACTACCAAAAAAGAAATCATTCTACAAGTATGTTAGAAGTAACAAAATCAAGGAAAGTGCTAGGAATGCCCCTTCCTGAATGAAAACGGCAATCTAATAACGAATGCTGTAGAAAAGGCTCTTCTCCATATCATTTAATGCATTTTTTTACTTCAGTCTTAACAAATAAGGTCACCTATCAGATGGCTAAGCATAGGGGACAGCAAGAATAGGAGAGAAGATCATCAGCACAGGATAGGGAAAAAAACAAGTTGGAAAATATATAGAAGCTGGACAATTAAGTCAGCAGAAGCAAGCAAAATTGGCTGACGTTTTTGCAGAGCCATGGGCTATTCTCTTTGAGAACTCATGGAAGTCCGGTGAGACCCTGGACAACTGTAAGAAGGCAAGTGTATACATATCTTTTTCATCATCATCATCATCATCTTTTTTTTTTTTTTTTTAAAGAAAAAAAGGGAGTGGGAGGAGGAACCAGGAAATTACAAATCAGTCACTCTAGTTATCACAAATTCCAAAGATGCAGTTCTTCTCCCCAAAGAGAAGCAAGTGATTCATTCTGCTGTTGCTGAAGCCCTGCAGGAAGGAAGTCCAGTGGATTAAAAATAAGTTATCGTTGTTTCTGAAATTCAACAAGTGCATTTCCCTTCTATAACCCAACATGATATATTCTGCCTATTGTTTGGTAAATTGAGTATCATCCCCTCTTAGGGGAAAGCTTCTATTCCTTTTGGATACATACTGGTATCTATGCTGGATTCCAATGTCAGAATTCGCTGTCGTGTCTCCATATTAAAAATGCTAGTGTGTCCACTGTTAAACGATGCTACCATGAGGCTTGGGTCACTGCTTACAAGGTCCACTGATGAAGGGATTCCCATTTCTAGAGACAAGAATAATGTTATAATTAGATTATTACACAATGGCAAAGGCAAAAGAATGGTTTACAATTTAGCTTAAAAATGTTCATTAATATGAAAAAAGTTGCTAATGTGGTCCAAAAATACAAATTTTTCACTATTATTTGAAAAGTAACTGGAAACCTGGCAGGCTTCTGTATTTATCATCATCATCATCATATCAGTATCTGAATTTGGTCACCCCATTAGTATTCAATTGGTTTATTACAGGTTTTTATTATTTTGAGAGAGACTAAGGTGCCAAAATCCAAGCCTAGCGTCCAACTTGGTCACTAACCTTATCTGGCAGATCTATGGCCTCATAAAACATTCTTTGCTAAAATACTCTTAACTGGATTTTAGCTGGGGTGGATCTATTTGCAGTCTGAAGTCCATTCAATAAGGAAGGAAATCATTTCCTGAATGGAGCTTTAAGACTGATTTCCAAACAACATAAATAAGATAAAACAAAAACAACATGAGCAGGTAGCAACCTGTACAAAGCAGGTAGCAAAGCAACCTGTGCAGGTAAAATACAAAAAATTGACAGTTGTCAAAAATACTACTAAGATGGAGGTCCTTATGAACACCAAGGGGGAATGCGAGTAGTGAGGGATGGGAGGTTCTCAAATCATAGTATTTACACCCCTCAACCTCTTTAACACTAAGTTTTCCAAGTTGCTCCTATGTACTGAAAGTTTTTAGCATAGAAAGCTATGTATGGGACAAAAACCTTGCTTGTAACTGCTTCCCAATCTTTCTGTCATGACTACTTCACCTCCCCCACCATGCCTGAGGTTGAGGTCTTCAAAATCTGAGAGCAAGAAATGCGTGCTGAATTATCTTCATTAAGCCATTTTAAGGTGTGAAACAATGGAGCCAGGCCCCGGTGGGGGAGGTTGCTCATAGAAGCAGGACTGTGGAGTGAAGCATGAAAAAGCAATGGAAAGTACCCAGAATATACTATGAAAGTATACAGGAAGAAGTGTTCAGGGGTACCAACTTTCTAGCTCCATTACTGTGAACACAGAATGAAAACCTTGCTCCAACATAATCACTAGAGTGTACTGATTTGGAGCTCTCTACCTCCATATTGTTAAATGAACATGAAGAAAAAAGTTGGGAAAGCCAAAAAGGCAATAATAAGATAGGGTATTTTCCCTCCACTTGTATAGTGAAAGGAAGCACACCAACATCTCTCTAGAGGCTTGCAAATTGTTAAACCTAAGGAATCAGATTATGGTCATGAGCGTTTTGTAGAGTCAAGTTAAGCTATCGGACCATACAGAGAACAGAAATTCCTTTTCACAAGAGGATTCCAGCATGTCAAAGCCGGAGTTGATTCTGAAACTCAAAATTTAAATTTGCTATGAAAAAGAATAATAAAAGTTTTGAAATCCATAACTATTTTTTTCCCCCAAAACATGTATTTTGCCTGAAAGTCTGCCAAAGAAGTGGGAAGTCAAGCTGACAGGACAGATTTCTGACAACTGCAAGTGTAACCCAGGCTGGATTACATTAATTTGTGTTCTCTGACAAAAAAGTAAAAAGGTCTTCTAAGAGAATATCATACCTCCTTCAGTTCAGTATAAATTAAGTAGCCTAGGTAAAATCAGGAAGAGTATATCTTGCAAGTCTAAAAAGATGCACATCTGCCTTGGATAATGCAGCATCTTTAGATGTTAGTCTATTTGTGTCAATAAGCCATTCTGTAAGGTCTATTAAAATAGCTACCCATATAAGCTAGGCCACAAGCATTAAAAAACTGGTCTTTTGTAGTTCTGCTCAGCCAACACAGCCAACAAATTTTGCTATATCTGTTTGTGCAGTGTTGGGTTTTGAAGTGTTTTTTTTTGTGAGGGGTCAGTGAAAGGTTTGCTAAGCTAGAGCAGAAAGGGCTGGCCATGTTAGTGTTAAGTCAGGCACAAGGCAGGACAAGATGGCATTAGAGACTAATTGATTCAGAGGAGCAACAACTCATTTTGTCAGCACCTGACCCGCAATGGTAGTTACTCCTCTTCTCTCAGTCTCCAGGAAGGGAGGAAGCAGCAGGGCAATGATCCCTGCAAGTTCCCTAGATGGAGATGTCTCCTGTCTGTGGGATGTGCAAGCAACAGCAGCTGCCTCCACATCTACTGGCCTAGTCTTCAAGGAGAAAAGGAGCAACAGAGCAATGCTCCCTGTGTGTTCTCCAGATCAGGGAGTTCTCAGTCCGCGGGACATGCAGGGAGCATACCCAAGCCACCCAACTCCTCCTGGTCTCACAAGTCATCTGCTCCCCACATGCCTTCTGGTCTCACAAGTCATCTGATCCCCACATGCCTTCTCCAGACTGGCCTGGCAAGTGTTTCTCCTGCCACTCACTCCTCCTAATCTGGAAGGAGTATAGCTGTGGGGAAGCATACAGGTATTCATACCTGCACAGCACTCTCATGACAGCAAGATATTACTCATTGAGCAAAGAAGACCTTTCCCCCAAACCAGGTGCATTTCCTGTGGGAAAAACTGAATGAATGCTGGTATGCTCCTAGTTCCCATCAGAAGAGCAGCAATTCCCCTGGTAGAAACTAAATAAATGCCTGTATGTGGCCTGTTTAGCATGAGTAAAGTTCCCCTTTCTCCAAGTAGTGGCTCCTATTTTTTCCCATTCCTTCAAGCCTGACGCAATGAAAAATGTAGTTATTTAAGTCCAAACTACTAACTTGCACATTATTAAATTTTCAGTAATTCAATTACAAAAGCTTTCAAACTAGTATAAGCCATGATCAGTAAAACAACACATACTAAAGCAAACAGCCTGCTTTATTCCACATGCCTGAATATAGAAATCATGACGGCCTAAAGTTTTCAATTTTAGGGGTATACTTAGATCTTTATTAAAGCATTTAGGTGAGTGGCCTGCGTTTCAGAGATACTGAAAATACAAGATTCTTATGGATTTCAATGGCTTCTGGAAGTATATTTTTTTCTCTTTGGCCCTATTCTACTAATGCTTTTTCCTGAAAAGTAGGAATCTGTTGGAACTGGTAGCTCTAGCTGAGGAATCACCCAAATTTTTCTGCATGAAAAATATTCACAGTAATAAACCTATGAAAAGAGAATAGAAACACTTTTATTTAAGAAGAGAAATTAGGACAGCTTGAACAGTGATACCATAAGCTTTAAAACAGGAAATTATTCTGTACCTTGATTATCATTGAATATATTAAGAGCTGGAGCAATTTCTGCAGCTTTCCATAAACGTATAGTGCCATCTGCTGAACAGGACAGCAAACGTTGGTGCGCTCCACTATAAACCAAACCCCATACTGCATCTGTGTGGCCTACAAAAGCACCTCTTAGAACAGAAGGATCTGTGAACAAAATGTCATAGGAAACAAGTTTCAAAATAAAAGATAAATCAAATTAAGTTATACATTAGTACACATACAAAATATTAACACCACAGGCCCTGGCTGGGCCTATCACTGGAAGAGTCTCCCTTTTTGTAGTATACTAGTATCCAGACTTCACCAGGGCATCTGATATTCAATTTTCCGATTTTCTAATGGAAAATGAATTTGCAGTTATGCTTCAGAAGGGGGCAACTGAAATATTAAAGAAAATAGTTAAAACATGAGCTTCGATTAAAAACTCTCAAACTACCCCGTATAACTTCAGAGTGTTATAAAAGTTGATTAAAAATGCAAAATCACCCAGATACCAGGAAACAATGAAACTTTGTCACATAGATGCAGCACAAACAGTCCCTTGCATCTGTTCATATAAAATTACAGCACACTTAAGTAGCTGAAGGCACAACAACTAAAATATACATTTATGGGGATAGTGAATATTCTTGATTTGGGCATCTACAGCAACTTGCAGATAGTGCTGACAGCTCTCTCACTGTAGGGTCCATTATTTTTTTTTAATTTTTGCAGTCTCCTAAAACTGTCAGAGAGATAGGGAATGTTAGAATACAACGTATACAACAGGCCTAGTATGTTTCTCACTATAAATATGTTCATAAATGTTATGATAACACCCATTTTGTTAAAAACAGGCAAGTTTCATTCTTTTTGTTGAATATTAAAGCAGCAGTTTGCTTAGTGTCTGAAACCAACATTCACCTTTTTCCTTCTAACAAAGCACTGCTATGTAAAAAAAATTGACAATGCTACTGACATAAGAAATTTCAGGTTTTTGCTAGACAAAAACATACCATAAGAATCATAGGGATCAATATTTGGGTTTGTTGTATTCCAGCCATGGATGAGACCATCAGTTCCTCCACTGTAACACTGCTCCCCATTATTACTCATGACCACACAGAGCACTGGACCACTGGAAGAAAAAGTCCACAGAAGCAAGTTATCAATTACAACTATTTACACAATATTATAGGGACCATAGGCTCAGGTAACTATATTTTTGAATATATAGGATAGTTTTCATGAAAATAATGTAAATGGTTTTTATATTTTAGTTCTCTGCAGACAGCTTCATCAAGTCAAATCAGTCCTGTGGCTTCTGCAAACATTGGGGCACCTTAGAAGCTGTACATCATTGGTGATTCTTTGGGCAAAGCGACCTGGTGCTACCCATCTCCTCTCCAGGTATGGATGGCTATTGGCTCACAGGGAGCTCATCTACCTTTGACAGGTCTTGTTTTCAGTCCTGTTGGGTGACCACACACCCTCTTCACACAGCCTAGTTCAGGTGGGAGCACTGGTTTAGTTGCTGAAAACCTGACCATGGATCAGGCTGTACTGGTTTACATGGTACCAGATAGCAGAACAAGAGAGGCCTGGTTTGACAGCATCATACTGTAAACTAATTCAAGTACAAATCCTGTGCTGCAGCAATGAGCAAAACTAGATTTGCACCATTTGCATATAGGTTTTTCTCTTTAAAATTGTAGCTTTAACAAGCACCAACTACAATAAGAATAGCCAGACAAGACACAAGCATACAGAAGCATTTAAAAATAGATAATGTGGAAGCTAAATTAACACATGGACTGAGTAGCAATTTTTTTATTGTTATAGAAATATATAAAACGTGTGTAGGTGTAAATATTAAAAATATTAAAAAAAAAAATCGGCTAGTCATTCCATGTATTCCATATGTAGAAATCAATTCTTGAACAACTCTGAACAGTGTTTTATTTCTCAGAATTAAACAATGATTTTGTCAAATACTTACTTATGTGCTCTGAATGTATATATAGGTTCTACATCAAGTGAAGTGCTCCTGAAAAAGAAAAAAGGAAGAAAAATAATCACAGAAGAGTCTGACAATTATCTGATTATATACAAATGTTCCTAGAAATACATGAAATAAGGTGCTGAAACAACTTTAAATTTATTACAAATTCTTATGGAAAATTTTCCCTCAACTCTGGTGATACTTTTTCTTTGAGATTCAACACTAGAAACGTTAGATTCTAAGAAGCCCCCAGATGAAAGATGACTAGTCATGAACAACCTCACAACAATAAAACTAGTTGGTGCACAAAAAGGGGGGGGGGGGGGGAGAGAGGAGTTTCAAAGCAAAACA